CGGGGGCGGCTCCTGTGCCCGGGCTCGCCTCTCGTCCTGCCCCATCCCTCTTCTGGCGCCTCTGCTGCAGGCCTGCCAGCTCCTTGGTGAGCCGAGAATCGGCCTTCTCCATGGACATCTTGGGTGTCCTCTGCTGGAGACGCGCTACGGGAGTCCAGGTGAGCTGCTGCCTCCTGAGGGAGATGCTCTCCTGGGAGTGGGCACCCCAGGGCTTGGGTTCCTTATATATACCCCATGGTCACCATGGAGACCCATCACAACGGTGTCCGGGCAACAGGCCCCGCATCACAAAGGCCCGGGGGTGGCTCTGGAGACCCCACCCCTCACCAGCTGGCACCAGTTGGGACTGGTTTGGTCTGGCCATGGCTTGGTAGCAGGGCAGGGCCCCAGGGGGGCTCCTGTAAGACACCGCAAAGCTTCCTGGACTCCATGTGGCCACAGCTCTGGCCAAGGCTGAGAACTCAGGGATGATGCAGGTGCCTCTGGGATTCAGGTGTGGAAGAAGGGAAGGTGGAGAGCAGAGGGGAGAGCAGCTCCCAGCAGAGACCCCAGGGTCAGTGAGCAAGGAGCAGGAGGAGGTGCCCAGGCAGAGCTTCCTGCGCCGACCACAGAGCCAGGGCCAGGGGTGTCAGGGCAACTTTGGTCAATCCTCTCTTCTTGGGAGACTTTGATTCCAAGGGACCGAGGGGTTTGAGGGCAGAATTCACCTCCCTCAGAGCTTGGGTGCCGAGTTCTGGAGCGGATCAGTAAGGGCTGTCCCTCCCCACCCCAGGGTTTATTGTAGGGAAGGCAACACATGGAGGGGCTGGGAGCTCAGGAGAGGCCAGAGGGAAGTCACTATGGAATATATTTATCAATATATACACCAAAATCCCCCCAGGAAATGCACACGCCAATTATTAGTCACCCACCCAGTATCAGTGTAGGGAGGCTGAATTAAGGAAGGAAGGAGAGGAAGAGAGAACAACACAGGGAGGACAACACCCGACGCTGCAGCCCCTCAGAAGGGCTGCGGTGTGAGTGCAGGATCACAGGGAAGGGACACAGGCTGTAGCACCTCAATCTTGTTCCCAGAAGGTCTGGACCCACCTGCAGGGCCGTTAGATTCCCGAGCAGCAGCTCAGGCCATCACCTCTGGGAGCAGCTCCCTCTTCCTGCACACAGCATCTCCCTGCCCCGGGGGCGGTAAATCCACACCTGGAAAAGGGCTCCTCCTCTTCCCAGCAAGCAGTAATTCAGCTGAATTAGACTTCAGGCTTCAACAGGCCAAACCTGGATGGTGCTGAATAGCAGAATTTGTTGTCAGAGGTGTTATGTGGAACTGGGGTGTGTCTCCCTGAGAGCCCCAGCAGCTGATTCACTGGGTACATCCATCAGGAACAACATGACCCAGCACAGTGAAGAAGACTATGAGCCTTCCTCCCAGAGACCCCTGCCCACAAGCCCCCAGAGGCAGTGGGCATGAGGGAGTGGGCATAGAATCATAGAATCATAGAATCCCAGGGGTTGGGAGGGACCTGGAAAGCTCCCCCAGCCCAACCCCCCTGCCAGAGCAGGGGCACCCAGAGCACATCACACAGGAACGTGGCCAGGGGGGTTGGAATGTCTTGATGTTAATGACTCTGGGGAAATGATCTAAATATTCTCGTGAATTCAGGGAGCTAATCTGCCTCATCCTGCCTCCCTTTCAGAAAAGTGATGCTTACGTATGTTTGAAGTGAATAAATATGTGTTGCTCTTACCTGTTGGTCTGTGTGTTTGGAGGAGTGATCCCCATGCTCCCAGTGCTGCAATAAGGGACCTGCCTTAGAGCTGCTTGGGGCTAAAGAGTCTTTGTCCTGGTGCCACTGAGACCCCTCACAGCCCCCCCCCGGCCACCCAGAGACCCCTCAGGAACACCCCAGGGCCCCTTTAGAGTCCCTGTGACATCGCAGAGGACCCTGCAACCCCAGAACTCCCCAGGACACCATGATGGTCACCAGTACCAGCCTTTATTAATAGGTTACATCACATTCTTTGTTGTGGTGAGCGAGAGTCAGACACACAATACTCATAGAGTTATGGTGAATGCTCCATTTTATTGTTAGGTACATCAGTATATATAGGTTTATTACAAAGATCATTACGTCTTCAATATGCTAACTGATTGGTTAGTAATTACTAATTGCTCACGCGTTATGACGAGCTATAACTTTGATACTTTAGGCACTGTAGTAAGTTACTATTTGGATACTTCTTCTGCTAAACCTGCATCTTGTTGAATATGGTCTTCTTTGTGGTCTTTGTGGCATCAGCATCTCTAACTGGTCCTGCTTCAGTTCCTTCTTTGTATTCTGCTGTTACAAAGTTCCTTTAACCTGTTACTAAAGTGTCCTTCTCTCCTGTTTCTTGCTGGTACAGCTCTTCTGTTCCCTGCACGAACAGCTCCAGTATTTTTCCATGTCCATTGCTGTACAGAAATTCATCCACAAACATCCCACGGATGGAGGGGGGAGGAGGTGACATGAGACCATTTTCTGATCTTTTTAGCCCCTTTACCACCTCGATCTCTGCTTTAGATAAAGTTACCTGAGGTTATTTATTGCTTGTTTCTTGCTGCCTTTGATGGGCACCTGGTTAGTGGGAGAAGCAGCTGGTTAACCAGACATAGGGTTTAAAAAGGGATTAATGGGGCAGAGATGGAAACGGTGGCCGTGGGTCATTTTTTAAAGGCATTTCCATCATGAGCTCAGTGTTTATTTATGCAGATTTATTCAGCAATGGCTCAGGTGAAGCTGTTCAATCCCTTGCCATGGGGCAGTCAATCCCTAGTGCTGCTGCTTTTCCTCAGCAGAGAGTCTGGCACCCTAGGAAAAGGAAAAAAGGAAGGAAAGGGAAAAAAACAGAAGGCTTTTGGCATCCAAGCCCAAGAATAAAGGCCTTTTTGCCAGCAGGGATCCCTCCAGCCCACGGGTGGGTGCTGCTGTATCCTAACAGCTCATTAATATATTCATGATATGTTAATACAGTGAACAGAATCCCTGCCCCCCCTTTTTCCCCCCTTCTTGCCTCATCCTCTTGACCACTCGGGGTGTGTTTTTCCCCCCAGTTTGAACCTGGTTTTGTCTAAATCTTCCCGTGTCTCTGGTGTCTGAGCCCTGGTTTTATTCTGCCTGCCCCTTTTGTCCTCCTTGATGCAGTTTTTTCCCCCGGAATGTGATTTTTCCCCCCCCAAATGTAACTTATTTCCATCACTGGGCCCAGCCCCGCGGGCGGGCCCTGAGGAGGGACCGGAAGTGGCGCCGTCGCCGGTGCTCAAGGCTGTACCTTGTACAGACAAGCTGTGAGCAGAATCCCTGTCCCCCCTTTTTCCCCCCTTCTTGCCTCATCCTCTTGACCACTCGGGGTGTGTTTTTCCCCCCAGTTTGAACCTGGTTTTGTCTAAATCTTCCCGTGTCTCTGGTGTCTGAGCCCTGGTTTTATTCTGCCTGCCCCTTTTGTCCTCCTTGATGCAGTTTTTTCCCCCGGAATGTGATTTTTCCCCCCCCAAATGTAACTTATTTCCATCACTGGGCCCAGCCCCGCGGGCGGGCCCTGAGGAGGGACCGGAAGTGGCGCCGTTGCCGTGGCAACGCGTCTGTGCCTGGCCCGGCGGGCGGGCCCGGGTGTGGGGCTGGATGTGCAGGTGAGTTAGGGGGGCTGGGGCCTGGTTGTGGGGCTGGGACCTGGTTGTGGGGCTGGGGCCTGGTTGTGGGGCTGGGACCTGGTTGTGCAGGTGAGTTACAGGGTCAGGACTGGGCTGTGGGGCTGGGACCTGGTTGTGGGGCCAGGCTCTAGTTGTGCAGGTAAGTTACAGGGTCAGGACTGGGCTGTGGGGCTGGGACCTGGTTGTGGGGCCAGGCTCTAGTTGTGCAGGTAAGTTACAGGGTCAGGACTGGGCTGTGGGGCTGGGACCTGGTTGTGGGGCCAGGCTCTAGTTGTGCAGGTGAGTTACAGGGTCAGGGCTGGGCTGTGGGGGCTCAGGGATGGCTGAGGGGCTGTAGTGGTGAGTTGTAGGGTCTGGGTTGTGGGGGCTGGACCCGGTTGTGGGGCTGGGACCTGGTTGTGGGGCCAGGCTCTAGTTGTGCAGGTGAGTTACAGGGTCAGGACTGGGCTGTGGGGCTCAGGGATGGCTGAGGGGCTGTGGCAGTGAGTTATAGGGTCAGGACCAGGTTGTGAGTCTGGGGCCTGATTGTGGGGCTGGGACCTGGTTGTGCAGGTGAGTTACAGGGTCAGGACTGGGCTGTGGGGCTCAGGGATGGCAGAGGGGCTTGTGGAGGTGAGTTATAGGGTCTGGGGCCCGGCTGTGGGTCTGCAGCCTGGTTGTGGGGCCGGGCTGTGGTTGTGGGGCTGGGGCTTGGTTGTTGAGGTGAGTTACAGGATCTGCAGCCTGGTTGTGGTGCTGGGACCTGGTTGTGGGGCCAGGCTCTAGTTGTGGAGGTGAGTTGCAGGGGCTGTGGGGCTCAGGACCAGCAGAGGGGCTGTGGTGGTGAGTTCTAGGGGCCAGGGCTATGCTGTGAGGCCAGGACTAGGCTTATCTGTGGGGCTGAGGCCAGCCTGTGGCACTGAGGACCCTGCTGTGGGGATGGAGCTGTGCTGTAGGGCCAGGGGCTGCTCTCCCAAGCCTTGGGGTCGCCATGTTTGGGGGCACCTGTGGGCACAGCCTGTCCTGGCTACAGCTCTTTACCCCAACCCCTCACCCAGGCACCTGAGCACAAAACCTGCTGTGCTGCAAACAGCTCCTCCCAGCAAAGCTCTAACTCATGCCACACAGAAGCAGTGCAGACCCTGGCTCGGGAGGGTCCCACCATGACTTCTGGGGGTTTTATTCTTCTTATTCTTTTACTCACTTGGAAACTCAGGAGTTCCTGTTCAGGGGATGCTGAACCTCAGCTGGCTGCCTTGGAGGTTGGTTGTTAGAGGCAGTACAGGAAAGGCACAACCCCCTTTCCCTTCCCTCCCTCCCTCGGGCTCCTAAGAAACTCTGATGAGTCACTTGGTGTCCAGGCTCCCACAGGGGAAAGGTCTCTCCATCTCCAGGCAGCTTCCTGCTGGCTCTGGGCAGGGTGTGCCTCTGCTGGGACTCTTGGCTTTGCTAAGCATTCCCATTTCACAGTGGGGGAGAAGAAGCCAAGCACCCAATACCAAACTGCTGGCAAAAAAAAAAAGTCGTGGAACAAGCCCAGTGGCTGTTCCCTTCTCTGTGTTTGTTTTGGGGTGAGGAGCAGCAGGTGAGTCTGACTTCACCATTCCTGGAGGATGCCAAGTGATCAAAGCTGATGTGGTTTTTTTTCCACCCCCCCCTTGACAACTCTGGCTACACAACCAGAGAAAAAGAAGGGGAAGTGCACGACCCTTTGTGCTTCTCCAAAATGTTGCTGTGGGGTTGTGACCTGGTTGTCCAGGCTCTTGGGCTTCCTTCTGGCAAATCATGAGGGGTCTGAGAGCAGCTTCACTGGGGGAACACCCAGCAGAACGTGGTGGCTTCACCTTTAATGGAGCTTAATGCCAGTCTCTGTTAAGCAGCCTTTGGCCACAGGAGAAGTCAGAATGGGTTTCTCTGTTTGGAATCAGTCTCAAAGGTCTTTTGAAAAAGCCAAGTGCAGTCAGGCTTACCCAAAAGTGATGGGAACTGAATCTTTCACTGCAGGACCAGCAACCAGGCCAGACCTGTGCTTTAAAGTTCACTCCCCTCCCGTTTTCACTCAGTTTCTAGCTTCAGAAACAAAGGTTTCTGTTCTTTCCCTCAAAAAACTTCCTGTCAGTTGGGAAGGGCACAACTTCCCAGTGCTCTGGGGCAGCTTGAAACAGCTCCTGACAAAGCCAGTCTCTGGAAATACACGACCAGCATTCCATGACTGAGCTGTCAGGGAGCTGGAGGACCTGCCTGCCTCCCCAGGGCCACACCACACCTCGAGCTGTGATCTGCCTGAGGAGCAGCAGTGGGAGCTGGAGCTCTCTAGAAGCTTCCTGGCCAGTTCCTGTAACTTCTCCCTCTGCTCCCTCCCCCACCAGGTACCTCAAGAAGCAATGGCCACAGCAGCTCTGCTGAGCTGAAGGACACAACTTCCCAGTGCTCTGGGGCAGCTTGAGACAGCTCCTGACAAAGCCAGTCTCTGGAAATACACGACCAGCATTCCATGACTGAGCTGTCAGGGAGCTGGAGGACCTGCCTGCCTCCCCAGGGCCACACCACACCTCGAGCTGTGATCTGCCTGAGGAGCAGCAGTGGGAGCTGGAGCTCTCTAGAAGCTTCCTGGCCAGTTCCTGTAACTTCTCCCTCTGCTCCACCCACCAGGTACCTCGAGAAGCAATGGCCACAGCAGCTCTGCTGAGCTCAGCTCACAGCTCCAACCCCTCAGCCCCTTCCTGGGGTGCAGCCACCTCCACCATGCATCTCACCAGGCCAAAATCTGCCAAGGGACGCAGCAGGCCAAGCTGCAGCCACCTGCAGAGGGTGGCAGCCTGTCCTTGCCAAGGGCCACCTTCCCCACCACCAGCACCTCTCCAGGTGAACAGCTGGAGATCATCAGCTACCAAACCACCATTCCCACCCAGCCAGGTGTCTCCTGAGGAGATCCCAGAGCTCCTGCAGCATGTGCCTGTGAGGACCTCGTCTTCCTTGACCAGGTATAAGGTGCTCCCCTCCATTGGGAAGCAGGGCACGGGGAGCAGGGCTGTGGAAGCTCTGGCTGAACAGACCAACTGGCTGAGGTTGAGCAGGGAGCAGGAGCACGTTCCCCAAATCCCAACTCTTCCTGGAGAACAAGGATCTACCAGCATCTTGGCAGAGAGTGATGTCCCCAGTGAGGAGGGCTTGTGTGCTCAGTGTTCTCTGGAGAAGCAGAGAAGGAAACTGAGGCAAGAGAGCCCTTGGATGTCAACTTTAAGTTTGGAAGAGCCACCTATGGAGAAGCCAGATGTGCTGCTGGCAGTTCGGGCTCCCTCTGGGCAGAGGTTTGAGCACCATTTCAAGCCCACCGACAGCCTCCAGGTGGTCCTTGCCATGGCAGAACAGAAAATGTCAGCCCAGTACCAAGGCTGCAGCATTGAAACGATGGAGGTGCCTCGAAGGAGCTTCTCTGACCTCACCAGGTCCCTCCAGGAATGTGGGATTCTCCACAAGTCCTTGCTGTGCATCCGGCAGGAGCAGCACAACACGGACCTTTAGGGGCACTGAGAGGCTGCCACTCTGCTCTGGGCAGCTGGGATGTGTTACATCCTCTGAAATTCTGATCTTTCCTGGCCAAACTTCTCCATCTTGCCATTTTCCCAAAGTTCTTGAAGCAGACTTGTGTGTAAGTGCTGAAACAGCATCTTTTTTTTTCACATGTGCCATCCCAAATTGCTCCCTGAGCAACACCAACCTCTGGCCTTTTTGAAATTGCTGAAGTTCTTCTTTGAAGACTGAAGTTTCCAGGACCTCTCCCCTTATCCTTTTCCATATTCCAGGAAGGTACTTCCCAGAGGGCATGTGGATGCAGAGGCACCTGTTTGGGAAGGCAGCAATTGCTTTACTCTGGAGAATCATCTTCAGCATCATCATCCTAAACATCTTGAGAGTGACTGGAACAGAGAGCAAACCCAGAAAACCATATGGAAATCCCAGTAATAATGGATTATGGAGAAGTACTAAAATGCAAGACTGATGGAAATCCCCCTGTGAGGGCCCAGGTCTTTCTGCAGAACCTCAGTGCAGCTTTTAAAGAGTGTGTCTGTAGCATCTTTTTTAAGAATAACTCATTATTTTGGCTGTCCTGGGGAGCAGCAGGAGTTTTCTACTTGGTTTTCCTTCTCTCATTCCCCTCGTGTGACCCACAGGGAAGAACAGAGGGAGAGCTAAGATGGGATGTCACAAACCACTTCCATTTAACACCAAAATGAGTGAGGCCAAAAAAGCAAACGCTGCTTGGGGAGTTTGAAAATAAAAAAAAAGGAAGATATTCATTGGATTTGATGGAGGGGTTGGCTCAGGTTGTAGCATTTATGTTACTAAACCATGATTTAAGAAGCCTGGTTGGGTAACGTGGCAGTTTTAGGTAAATACAATGTGCTTGTGCTGAAAGAAAGTCCAGGTTTGCAATGGAAAGCCTCGTGGTTCAAAGGCAACAATTCAGTCTACTCCAAAAATGGACCATTTGCCACACAGCTGAGCTGGTTTTAGTATTTTTGAGGTAAACCCAAGGTTATGTTTAACCTCAGTGTTACCACCAACCAACCCCAAACAGCAGCAGGATGTGCTGACCAAGAGTCTCATTCTCAAGCAAGTGTTCAGGGTCTGGTGGCTTTATAAAGGATCCCTGATGGAACAGTGTTCTCTCCAGCTGTGGGTGACAGGAATTGCTCAGCATCCATCCCTGTGGCTTCAGGGAGAGGCAACATAATGAAAGACAAGGGTGGTTTTCATCACAGCTCAGTGGGGAGCAAAGTTCTTCACTTAAGTTTCAGGAACAGTTTTGTTTTCTTTCAGTGCTTCGTTCCCTTCTGGTTTTGTGTGTCCTGTTACTTCTGCCTTTCAGTCTTTTCCTCCTGTGTGGTGATAACAATCAATAAAACCTTTTAGGCTGAAACTTGAACTTAAAATGATAAAAGCTGAGAAAGCAGAATGAGTTTGGTCCTTTCCAGAAATGTCCACTTTGATTTCCTTTTCTAAAAGACATGACAACCCAGCCCAGCCCCATGCAGGGACAGCACCTCTTTTCTTCCCAGGTTCTCACAGACTCATAGAATGAGATGGATTGGAGGGACTTTCTTCAAGATCATCTCAATCCAACCCCCCTGCATGGTCAGGGACACCTCCCACCAGCCCAGGCTGCTCCAAGCCCCATCCAACCTGCCCTTCAACACCCCCAGGGATGGGGCAGCCACAGCTTCCCTGGGCAACCTGGGCCAGGCTCTCACCACCCTCACAGCAAAGAATTTCCTCCTCATGTCCAACCTCAATCTCCCCTCTTCCAGTTTTAATCCATCCCCCCTTGTCCTCTCCCTCCCTGCCCTTGTCCCAAGCCCCTCCCCAGCTTTCCTGGAGCCCCTTCAGGCACTGGAAGGTGCTCGAAGGTCTCCCTGGAGCCTCCTCTTCTTCAGGCTGAACAAGAAGTTCTCCTGTTGCCTTCAAAAGCTGGTGGGGATACAGGGGAAGTCTTAATGATTGCCAAGTCCAGCATGAGAAGCACTAGGGGGGGAAGAACAGTAGTTATCTGACCTCATTTCAAAATAATCAGAAAAGCATCATTTCAAAAGCTGTCCACAAAGAACCTTGCAGGGATTTCAGCATTAAATCAGGTGAAGTTCAGTCACCAGATGCTTTGAGGTGATAGAAAACTCCTCAGGACTCCTGGCTGGAAACCTATGACTTTGAAATCCACCCCCAAAAAAAGACTGAGAGAAGAAATGAGCAGAACCATCCTTCAGTACATGTTCTTTATTCCAATTAAAAGTACATTAGAAACAGCACACAGGACCAGCAGCAGCTTTTCTGACAAACCCAACCCCATACTCTGCTGTCACCAGGTCATTCAGACCTCCCACCAGCCCAGGCTGCTCCAAGCCCCATCCAACCTGCCCTTCAACACCCCCAGGGATGGGGCAGCCACAGCTTCCCTGGGCAACCTGGGCCAGGCTCTCACCACCCTCACAGCAAAGAATTTCCTCCTCATGTCCAACCTCAATCTCCCCTCTTCCAGTTTTAATCCATCCCCCCTTGTCCTCTCCCTCCCTGCCCTTGTCCCAAGCCCCTCCCCAGCTTTCCTGGAGCCCCTTCAGGCACTGGAAGGTGCTCGAAGGTCTCCCTGGAGCCTCCTCTTCTTCAGGCTGAACAAGAAGTTCTCCTGTTGCCTTCAAAAGCTGGTGGGGATACAGGGGAAGTCTTAATGATTGCCAAGTCCAGCATGAGAAGCACTAGGGGGGGAAGAACAGTAGTTATCTGACCTCATTTCAAAATAATCAGAAAAGCATCATTTCAAAAGCTGTCCACAAAGAACCTTGCAGGGATTTCAGCATTAAATCAGGTGAAGTTCAGTCACCAGATGCTTTGAGGTGATAGAAAACTCCTCAGGACTCCTGGCTGGAAACCTATGACTTTGAAATCCACCCCCAAAAAAAGACTGAGAGAAGAAATGAGCAGAACCATCCTTCAGTACATGTTCTTTATTCCAATTAAAAGTACATTAGAAACAGCACACAGGACCAGCAGCAGCTTTTCTGACAAACCCAACCCCATACTCTGCTGTCACCAGGTCATTCAGCTCTACTAGGAAAGAAAGTGATTGAAACCAAGTCTTCCACTCGACACCCAAGCACTCACTCACCTGCCACTTTAAATAGGTTTCCAACAGAATAAAAATAGATACACCCCAGAATACAAAAAGTTTTAACAGGTTTGTAGGTTGTTTTTTTTTTGCTTTTTTTTGCTTTTTTCTTCACTAAAGCCTTTATACAAATTGATAAAAGGGTGCACGATTTCCTAAAAGTTTAGGTACGTTTTAAATGAGCTTCTTGTTGTTGTTGTTTTACTTGGTAAAAGGATCCACGTTCCTGTCTTTGAACAGAATTATGATGGCCAAAATTGCAAAGAAAAATCCCTAGTTCAATTTACAATTTGTACATTTGGTTGGAAGTGATTCCTGCACTGAGCAGCAGTCCCATTTCCCCACCCCACCCCCCCAAAAAAAGAGCTGTGCACCCTAAGTTCTAGTTCAGGAGCCTCTTTCTCCTGGAAACCAAGCTGAGGGAACAACCCCCAGGCTTTCAGCTGTGTGTACCAGAGTGGTCCCAACCCAAAGAAAAGCCCAAGCACAGAAGTTGCAAATCATTCCTTCTCCAGAATCATTCCAACCATCACCCCGGGGCAGGGACTGGGGACCCGTTCTGCACCACCAGCACAACAGCAGTGGAAGAGCTTCATTTGGCTGAGCAATTTAACTCAAAACTCTGGTAGTGAAACAGACTGTAAGAGGGGAATTTGGTGATCTCAAGGCATTATTTTTTTGTGGTCAATCCAAGCTGTCATGATTTCTTTAGTCTTTTATTCCTATCACTGATGAGTGAAGCTCAGCTTGTTTTGTACACGATTCCCGCCGAGCTCCTCAGCAGCATCTCAGAACTGGCAGCACCAACCCCTCCTCCAACAGTCGTCAGCGTTTGATGGGAGGTGAATTTATTCAGACAAATGAATGAGTACAGTTCCCTTGGTACTGCCCCTCCCTCCCCACCCACCTTGGCCAGGTTAAAAACACTTCAGATGAACTTCTAGAGCCCGGAGTCAAGCGCCGGCGCCGCCGCTTCGCGGATCGTGGCCGTTCTAACAAACCAAGGAGAAAGGAAAAGGAAATACTGCCCAGCAAAAGCAACACAGCACCTGGGTTTGCAAGTAGGAGCTACTGGAGACATCCTCAGGACAACTTAGGTAAGGAAAAGCAGGGCAAATCCATCAGGAAGCCAGAAATGAGTCTTAAAGAGCTCAGGGGAGCGTCAAAGTGAACGACATCCTATTTTGTACAAGTGGAGTTTTTAGCCAAAAACCAGCTGCCTTGTTCTTTGTTTGTTTGTTTCTTTACTTCTACCCATTCTATACTTGACAGTTGAATTTTAACTGATCAACTTTTAAACTTTTAAACCAATTAAAGGCAAGGAAGCTTTTTTTTCCCTCCATCATTTTCAATTTGTTTGACATAATTACCTATTGCCCTTTTTTTTTTTTTGGCAAGTGTATTTCTCAGAATTCCAAAAAAAAAAAAGAAAATCTTCCCATTTTAAGGCTAAACTAAGAAATGTTCAAAGCTTCTGTAAACATTTCCTCTTCCTCCCCATAGTTGCACAATTTTGAAGTCCAACTGCAATTTGTAAAATGAGGTAATTTTGTGTACTCGTATCTGAAGAGAGTCCTTTTTGGGAGCAGCTGAGAAGCTTGCCAATCTGAACACTGATCCAATTGTAGTGGGAGAGCTTCCACAGCAGGGTACACACCAGTTCCAGCAGCTGTTCTTCAGTTAGCTATCTTCTCAATTTCATCCAAGTCATCAGTATCCAATTTGTTTATCTTTTTGTCTGGGAAAGAGGAGAAAGAAGTCAGATTTGCTATGACAGAGAAGGGCAAGCTGCTTGCTTTAGCTGCTCTGGAGCTCAGGTTTATCTAGTCAGGTTTAACCTAAATCAGGAGATTTAGGTTGGACATGAGGAGGAAATTCTTTGCTGTGAGGGTGGGGAGCCCCTGGCCCAGGTTGCCCAGGGAAGCTGTGGCTGCCCCATCCCTGGCAGTGTTGAAGGGCAGGTTGGATGGGGCTTGGAGCAGCCTGGTGTAGAGGGTTGGATCTAAATCATCTTTAAGGTCCCTTCCAACCCAAACTTCCTACAATCCTATGACTACCCAGGTAACCAGCAAACACACAACTTCCCTTGTTTCTCCTCCCATCCCATGCAGCAGCTCACAATCCACACTGACATCACACAGCTGACGTGCCCTTCTCTCAACCCAGCTGAAGGCCCAGTGACCATCTGTGCTCAGTTCTACAACCAGGCAGCAGAACTACCAGGTACTTTCAGAGAAGGCAGGAAGAGCCTGAAGGTACATACTGAAATGCTCCTGGATCCTGTTGAGGATGTTCATGCTGTGCTTGCTGTCCACCATGTTAATGGCCAGTCCTCTCTTGCCGAAGCGACCCGTGCGCCCGATGCGATGCAGATAAGTCTCATTATCTGGATTTCCATCTTTATCCACAGGAAGGTCAAAATTGATGACCACAGAGACCTGCTCGACATCAATCCCTGACAAAAAGAAAACACCAGGTGACACAGCCACATGGAAACCACTTGGCAGCAGGAACAGCCTCCTCGGCCCTGACCTGCGTGTGGTTTGGCCACTGGAGCCAGGAGAAGGGAGGAGATAAAAGCAGCTTCCAGCTCTGCCATGGATCTTAGCCACAACATCCTCACAGGGTACTTGGAAATAAACTCTATCTAGTTGTTGCACCAGATAATCCCACTAAACAGCCAAGGGAAAAGCAGTCAGAGATACTTTAACCTATTTTGGAAACTCCCTCCTTTCCAAAGCTATGAAGGCCTCTTGTTTTTCCCCAAGTTCTATGTTGTCTTCACTGTTCTAGGATGTCAAATTGCAACACAAATTCCTACTGGGATTCACTACTTTTCAGCTTCCCATATTTCAGAACATGTTTATTGGAAACATGGAGGGGCAGCAGGATGAGCCAGGCTTGGTGCCAGAAGCAGAACCTTCCCACAGGATGGACTTTTTCATCTCAAGCTGCAAGAAGGCTACAAGGAACCCTTCAGCAATTCCTGGCCTGCATCAAAAGAAGTGGGGCCAGGAGGTGAAGGGAGGGGATTCTCCCCTTTTACTTGGCTCTTGTGAGGCCCCATCTGGAGAACTGTGTCCAGTTTTGGAGACCCCAACATAAGAAGGACAAGTGTTCAGCCTCGAGAAGGCTCCAGGGAGACCTTAGAGCACCTTCCAGTGCCTGAAGGGGCTCCAGGAAAGCTGGGGAGGGACTTGGGACAAGGGCAGGGAGGGATGGGATGAGGGAGATGGATAAAAACTGAAAGAGGGAGATTGAGGTTGGACATGAGGAGGGAATTCTGTGCTGTGAGGGTGGTGAGAGCCTGGGCCAGGTTGCCCAGGGAAGCTGTGGCTGCCCCATCCCTGGCAGTGTTGAAGGGCAGGTTGGATGGGGCTTGGAGCAGCCTGGGCTGCTGGGAGGTGTCCCTGCCCACGCAGGGGGGTTGGATCTAGATGATCTTTAAGGTCCCTTCCAACCCAAACCATTGCATGATTCTATGATTTCTCCAGATTGGAACACCTGAGGATGTGGACTCTTCCCCTAAGCCAGCCAGCAGTGTCTTATCTTAGGACCTGCTGCTCCTGCCCTCCCTGGCCCAGTTCTGCCATGTCCTACCTCTGGCACAGACGTTTGTGGTCACCAGCACCTTCTCTTTGCCCTCTCGGAACCGTTCGATCACAGCAGCTCTCTGCTCCACCATCATCTCCCCGCTCAGCAGTGCCACCTGATGGCCTTCCTTGGAGAGCTCTGCTGCCAGCCAGCCAGCTGTCTTCCGGGTCTGAAACACAAAGCCAGGAAGGTTTTGGAATTCTTGGAAGGTTTAGGAATTCTTGGAAGGTTTAACGTTGTAAAGCAGGAATAAACCTCTCTGGAGGTGTTCAAAAAACATGTAGATGTGGCACTTTGGGACATGGTGTGGTGGACACGGTGGTGTTGGGTTGAGGGTTGGACTTGATGCTCTTCAAAGGGCTTTTCCAACCTTATTCATCCTATGATTTTAGGACTGGAAGCTCAGTTTTTCTAGCTCTTAAGTGCCCACTGTGCTCCCAGCTCTCCTGTCAGGATTAGGAAAGTGCATCTGCCACCACTTGTGCTCTGCAGCTTTTCCTCTGGGGGGGGGAATCCCATAGGTGTGCTAAAAACTGTCAACAAAACTGCTCAGCCTGGGGAATGTCAGGCTTTGAGCTGAATGTAGCTGTGAAATCCAGTTTCCAATTCTGCTGGGTTTTTTGAGCCCTGATGATGTCTGATATTAGTACATCTCAAGTCAGTCTAAAAGCAGAGAGCTGCAGCAGACTCCAGACACAGGATTTATCCTGGCTGAGCCAGGTTTATGTGGCTGTTCTGCACTGGTTTTTTTTCTTAAGAGCTGTTATGGTGCTGCCAGAGAAAAGAAAAAGTCTCTGCATGATTCACAGGGAGACCCCAGAATTGTAGCCCCAATTCCCTGAGGGAAATGAAGTCCCAGAAAAAGATACATCTCAGCCACAGAACTACAACACTTCCCCATCCCTCACTCTCCCCTTTTTTTCATTCCTTTCCCAACCTCAGTTTTTTTCAGTAGTTCTAAGGAGTATTTTGTGTTTGGAAAACAATGCATTACTCTGCTCTTTTTCTTCAGAGGATTTCCAGGGTAAAAATGTTCTGGATGGACAAAAAAAGAACTCAGTTAGTGCTGTCACAGCTCTTCAAGGTTGCATTTAAAGAGGGAGCCAGAGAAAGCAAAGAAAAAAGGCAATTTCTTCTGTTCCTTGCTGGAAAGTGTTCCTGGCTGGGTTTTCAGCACTAGCAGACATTAAGGAGGTCATTGGGACTAACACTCCCTGGAAGGACTCACATGGCAGAAGATCATGGCCTGGGCAATGGTGATAGCACCATAGATGTTACAGAGAGCCTGGAACTTCTCATCTCTGTTATTGCACAGAACATAATACTGCTTAATAGTGTCCAGTGTCTCCTCCTCTCTCTTCAGTTTGATGATGTTTGGGTCAGGAACAACTTTCTGAGCAAATTTCCACACAGAATCTTCAAAAGTGGCTGAAAACAGAAGCATCTGGCAGTCCTTAGGGAGCATCCTGCAAGAGAGAGCAAAATGGGCAGGGTTCCCACTTAACACTGTCACCCCCCCCAATATCCTGATGGGATTAAAGCTACAGGTAAAGCAGGAAGAAAACCTCAGAACCAGTTCTTTCAGTGGCTGGAAAGACTAGTGTTAATCTTACCCACACCTGTTTGTTCCCTCATAGACCAGTGGCATCCAGACTCACTTTCTTAATATATAATAAATAATGAACCCCACTCCAGAGACAGGCTTTTTATTCTGTGAGGAAGTGAAACTGCTTGTCATCTCCTGATGTTCTGCCTCTCCTAATCACCTGGAGTTGGAGCTAAATATATCATTTTAATCTTGTTGCTTTAGCAGTGAAGATCCCAGGCAAGAATCTAGCCCTGCTGGCTTTGGGGAACTAAAATTGAAAGAAGGAAAAATCAAGTGTGCCCAGTCCTTACCTCTGAATGCGGATGCTCTGGTCCTGGTGGCCCTGGGTTGCAATCATCACATCAGCCTCATCCAAGACAAACACTTTGATTTTCTTGGGATCTATGAATTTCAGTTTGGAACACCAGTCCAGCACGGTGCCAGGGGTGCCAATGACTATCTGCTCAGAGATCTTCTGACCTCTCTCCACTGCCAAGACACAGAGGAAAGCTTCCATAAGGTGGCTGGTGCAGACAGTGAGATGTTCTGCCCCTCTCTGAACCACCTCTGCAGACAGTGAGATGTTCTGCCCCTCTCTGAACTACCTCTGCAGACAGTGAGATGTTCTGTCCCCCTCTGAACTATCTCTGCAGACAGTGAGATGTTCTGCCCCTCTCTGAACCACCTCTGCAGACAGTGAGATGTTCTGTCCCCCTCTGAACTACCTCTCCAAACAGTGAGATGTTCTGCCCATCTCTGAACTGTCTCTGCAAACAGAGAGATGTTCTGTCCCCCTCTGAACTACCTCTGCAGACAGTGAGATGTTCTGCCACTCTCTGAACTACCTCTGCTGCACCCCAGGACCACCCTTTTCCCATTCCCAGCCCATTTCACCCCACTCACATTTATTGCCTCTGACAGCATATGCAAGTTTCAGCTCTGGATAAAACTTTCCCATCTGTTCAATCACTTTTCCTGTTTGAAGTGCCAGCTCATATGTTGGGGAAAGGCACAAACACTGGAGGGACAGAAGGAGAACATGTTTGAGGTGACCAACACCATCACACTTGCTTTTAAAAATCCTTCCTATTGAGGTTTTCCTGAAGATGAACACGGGAGCAGCTGGATGGTTTCTGAAAGCTCATCAGTTCTACAGCCTGGAACTAGGGGAAGGAGTTGATAGGACACAGGAGCTACTGGCTTTCTGTGTTCAACTCTGCTCCTCAGGCTTGACATTCTGCTAGGGGACACACCAGGGCAGTGACAAGGAACCCAACTAGAAGAACAGAACAGCATTTTTTAAGGAAAGAATTCTAGCCTTGGAGTCACTGCTCAACTACCTCATAAAGAAATTGGGGTTTAAAAGCCCCTTTCTTGGCATTTCTGCTCTTTTGTCACAGGTATCTTCTCTTCCATCCCAAACCCACAACACTCCCCTGATTTAACTTCTCCCAGAATGATGTTCCCCCCCAGTTTAACTCCCCACAGAGCATCCCAACTGAGGATGGGGCTGAAAAGAACAAGTTGTGAGCAAAATCCACATCTTTTCCATTAAAGGCATCTGGATAGATCCCCAAGTCTCCAGCCCCTGCTGAGCACTTTAGAGAAAGGGCATCAGAGATGAGTTTATCAAGCTAGGAATTCACAATCAAAGGTCTCAAAAGAAGCCTCCTCTTCACTAGGTGGCACTGCACCACCACAAAACCACCCACAGTCACCTCCCAGAAACTTCACCTGTGGGTACTTGTTCCCAGGTTCCACACGACTGAGCATGGCCAGGACAAAGGCAGCTGTCTTGCCAGTCCCAGACTGAGACTGTGCAATCAGGTTCTGAGGGCTGCAGGACAAGAGCAGACATGAGCTCAACCAGATCAACCACCTGCACAACGTTCTCATGGGGTTGAACTATGAGGAAAACACCAGTGGCTTTTTAATACCTGGTAGATTTACCACTTCCCTGAACTTGACCAGCTATGCTCCACGGGGCAGGAATTAGCTCCTGCCCTCTACCACCTCTCTCTTTCAGCACCTCTCGATTAAAGGAGATTTGGAAGGAGAACTGCAGTTACCTGTCAGTACTTTTCCATCCTGCACATCTCCCTCTAGTGGCTCAACTCTTCATCTCAGAGGAGAGGAAAACCAGCCCAGCAGGCAAGGCAGGATCTCAGCTGCTCCCACCCACCCACCCAGGACTTCTGGAGCTATGAGCATAGAATCATGGAATGGTTTGGGCTGGAAGGGACCTTAAAGATCATCTCGATCCAACCCCCCTGCACAGACAGGGACACCTCCCACTAGACCAGGCTGCTCAGATCCACAGCAGCCTGAGAATTTCTCCCCCTGGGCTGACTAGGAAAATTAGACTGACCCCAGCCAAACACTGAATGTTCAGCTTCAGCCTTAAAAAAAGGGCAAACCCAGGGCTGTTCCCACACAGTTTGGGGTCACAGAAACACCGTGGCATGGGAATCCTTTCAGACAGCTCCCTCATCACCATCCTCCCCTCCAAAGCTCAGGGATACCACACAAAATCCTTCAAATCCTTCCTGTACTGAAGGGAGTAGAAGGTATGTGCACATACGGTTCAGCCAGCATCATGGGCAGGGCATTCTCCTGGATCTTAGATGGTCTGTTGAAGCCCATGGCATAGACTCCTTGCAGCAGCTGTGGTTTCCTGAAAACAGAGGAGTTTTTATATCCTGACCTATTAGAATTACATTGGTGTACAAAAAGGTGAGGGGAAAAAAAACCCCTTGCAAGCAGACCTAGAGCTGCCCCTTTCTGTGCAGCCCCACGGGTGTGGTGCTGCCACCAGGGCCTGCAAGTGCAACAAGTGGCAGCAGCAAGTCTGGAAAAGCAGCTTTGCAAAACCCTCTGCGTGCCTGCCTGTCCCAGCTACAGGGAAACCATGTGCACAGTCCTGGGCTGCTTGTTCTAAAGCAGCTTTGCAGGCAATCCCAGGAATCCCAGGGCATTAATCCTGTCCTTGCAGCCAATCCCTTTTCCTCAGCCGCGTCTCATCGTGGTGCCAAAATTACTCCTTGAAGACAAGAACAGGACAGAGTGACCTCAGGATCATTAAGGTTGGAAGGGACCTTGAAGATCATCAAGTTCCACCCCCCCTGCCATGAGCAGGGAACCACTAGACCAGGCTGCACAAAACCTCATCCAACCTGGCCTTAAAAACCTCCAGGGATGGGGCATCAAAAACCTCCCTGGGCAACCCATCCCAGCTCCTCACCACCCTTAGAGTGAAGAAATTCTTCCTAATATCTAACCCTAAATCTCCTCTCTCTCAGTTTAAAACCAGCCCCCCTTGGCCTCTCCCTCCCTGCCCTTGTCCCAAGTCCCTCCCCAGCTTTCCTGGAGCCCCTTCAGGCACTGGAAGCTGCTCTCAGGTCTCCCTGGAGCCTTCTCTTCTCCAGGCTGAACACCCCAACTCTCCCAGCCTGGCTCCAGAGCAGAGCTGCTCCAGCCCTCCCAGCATCTCTGTGGCCTCCTCTGGACTCTCTCCAGGAGCTCCACGTCCCTCTTATGCTGGGGGCTCCAGAACAGGACACAGTGCTCCAGACAGGGTGTCACAAGAGCTGAATAAAAAGGGAGAATCACCTTAGTGCACTGTGACTACACCTCGTTATATCCCAGCACTCAAACTGAAGTGTCCTCAAGGCAGCTCTCTAGTCTCAACAGACACTTGTGCAGAGAAGAGATCCAAGAACAACCCAACATTCAGGTGCTGGTGCTGCCCAGCTCTTGGCTGATGACCCCCAAGTACCTACTGGAGTGGTGTTGGAGGTGCTCAGGAGTAAGGGCTTTCCTTTCAAAGCAGGTTACAGGTTCCCTGCCCACCATTTCCCACTGTTAAGGGCTTCCTATTCAGCACAACATGCTTGTTATAAAACCCTGTATTACTTCCAGACAACAGCTGGAACAAAAGCCCTTTGAAAACATAACCTTGTGCTGCTCAGGAGCAAGGACGTCCAAAGCCCGACTCTGCAACAGTTGCCAAGGATACACCAAGTCATAAAGAAATGAACACTCAATTCATCTGGCTGCCCCCATCATTAACTCCCTCAGATTGTTTGGCTTTTGAAAGATGGGAATTAGACTAAGGGGCACTACAGAACCTCAGCTTTTTGTTTTGCAGACATTCAGCCACTAACATTAGCCAAGTGAAATGACATCCTGACATTTCACGGCTCCCATTTCTCCCTGGAGCTTCCAAAAGAGCAACAATCTCCTGGTTTGGGTTGGAAGGGACCTTAAAGACCATCAGGTTCCAACCCCCCTGCTTTGAGCAGGGACACCTCCCACCAGCCCAGGCTGCTCCAAGCCCCATCCAACCTGCCCTTCAACACTGCCAGGGATGGGGCAGCCACAGCTTCCCTGGGCAGCCTGGGCCAGGCTCTCACCACCCTCCTGGGGACGAATTTCTTCCTGATGTCTGACCTAAATCTCCCCTTTTTCAGTTTAAAACCATCACCCCTTGTCCTATCACTGCCCTCTGGTGAAAAGTCTCATTCCTGTAAGCCCCTTTTAGGTATTGGAAGGTGCACCAAGGTCTCCCCAAAGACTTCTCCAGGCTGAGATCACCACTGTAACCAACAGCAATCCCAGCAGAACAGCCTCTTCAGCACATTAAAACAATGTATAAATCTATCATGCCTTAAATGTGGCTTGAAAGCTCCACTGGTAAAGGTACTCAGCAAGAAGGGTAAGAAAATACTGAAGCTAGTAGTGTCTCCAGTGCATCAATCCAGTATCCCTGGCAGGGAAAAGATAAAGCTTTTCCCTTTGTACTCTTCCTTGCTCCTCCTGGACCTTCACAAATAACCCTCAGAGAACAGGAACAGGAGCTGGTTGTTTTCATTCCTTCTGCCAATAAAACAAACCTTGTGTTTTTCAAAACACTGCTGTGCTGCTGGAACACCTGCTCCCAGCCTCCCTGCCTTTGCTTTTCTGTCTCTGAGACAGAAAAGGCCTCACTTTGCTACTGAGGTGGAAGGACAGTCCTTCCTCCTCAGGTGACTCCTCCAGCTTCTCACAACAATCTGCATTTGAAGCCCAAAAAAAACCACCCAGGAAAATTCAGGTTAGTGAACAGGAACTGAAGTGAGCTCGTAGCTGGACACCTTCACAAGCACCAAGCTCATCACTGTCCTTGCATGTCAGTCATACAGTGACATGCTAATTTATTAATGACAGGTCTGCAGTCCTTTGAAATGGAAACCCATGTGCTTTGAAGTGCCCTTATGCAGCCAGGGAATCCATGAGGATACACAGGGAGGTTCCAACTATGTGACCGAGCACCAAAACTGCTCCAACATGCCTCTTCCCAACTTCAGGAACAAGGCCTTCCTCCAACTGAGGGGGCCAAACATGACTCTGAAAAACACATCCATAGCAGAGCCTGTTTAATGTTCCTGTTCCCAGGCTCCAACAGCTGAAAGCAAAGAATCCTCTGGCTCACCCCAACATTCCCAGCAGCTTTGAAGCCCCCAGGCACTTACAGCCGCAGCTCCTCAAAGGACTTGACAGAGTAGAGGGGTGAGGTGGGATCCCTCTGCAGCACCTCCACTTGGTTTGTGGTGTCCACCAGGTTGCTACGGATCAGCTTGTTCAACAGGGACTGGGCAGCTCTGTCCTCTGGCCAAGAAAAGGAGGTGGGAAAACAACAAATCAACCCCAGCCCGTTCCCAGGCGTCGTTCCCGCTGCGACGCTGAGTGACAGAGCCAGGGAAACAGGGCAGGATGCAGCTGGACTCTGAAATTCCAAACCCCCTGAGACATCCCAGAGATTCCCATTTCATAGCCAGGAAGACAAAGCCAAGTGAGCAAAGGGCCTTGACAGAGACAGAGCTCCTCTTCTGTCAGATATTTGGCTGGAAGGTGGGTGAAAAGCCTCTCAGAGCCTCCTTGTGGGCAGACACTTTTGACTTGATTTATTTCTCTTTTTAAGGGAAGTTTTGAGGCCAAAGTTTCCAGGGCTGACATGCAGCAAGGGTTAAGGATAAGTGAGATCAACACAGAAGGTTAAACTGCTGCACTTTGGGGTTTTTGCAAAGAAATCTGCTTCTAAAGGCACCTGATGAAGGATTTGGAGCCATTACCTCTCAACAGCCATTTCATAAGGAAAACCTGCTGGTTGCTACAGCAATTCCAGGTTACCCAGCTGCTGCTGTATCCAGTCCTGCCTTTCAGGATGCTGCTTATCCCCTTATTCCACTCTAACCCAGGAGTCTCCCAAGTTATTACAGGACTTCATGGCTTTAAAAGCATCCTGGAGGAAGGCCATGTCTCACAGTTAAGTCCTTGGGGCAGGATACAAGATCACCCACCCTGGGACACAGGGCAGACTTACTTTATAAAGTGATAAATCTCATTGAATTTCTTGCCAACATCCCTCACCAAAACGTTTCTCAAGGAGGCACTTACCCTTCTCCTCATCCTCTGTCTTCTCCACGTTGTCATCAGCCTTGACAACAGCACCTGAATGAAAACAGTTTGGGGGGGGGGGAGCAGGTCACAGGGAGCCTGAACTGGC